CATGGATAAATCAAAAGAACACAGAAGTCAGATTGAAGTAATTTGCTAAATCTGTGAAATAGTGTTAGTAACAGATTGAAGTAAATTAGCTAGGAAACCAAGAGTCTATATTGATATAAATAGAAAGAAAGTAAGTAAATGAATAAATTGATTATTTGATGTGAAATAACATATGTTTTTGTTTTGGAATGGAAATTTAACTTTACTGAGAGTGTTTTAATTTTGACCCATAAAATTTGACCATGTATTAGTAACATAATTAAAATTGATTATAAAAATATAGCTCATGACCTGAAGAATCATACATATTTGGGGGGAATGTAGTGGACTGTGACAACTCTAGGATTTCTCTCCCATCACATTTTTCCAGCTTAGCCATGTAACAACTGACTAACAATGAGGAAAATTAAGAAAGAGGAATGTAAATGGCTCTTATGTTTCTTGCTTGGGTGTCCAGGTGCTACTGGTTGATGCTGGGAATATAAGAGGAAGAGAAGGTAAAGTAAAACAATGGCTTAAGTTTGGAAAATTTTATACCGAGGATGTTTGGCAAGCAGCTGGTTTTATGAGCTTGAAACTCAGAGGAGAATCTAGGGCTGAAATAAATAACCACATGAGTGGATGCCTAACTACATTAATAAGAAACTACCCAAATGTCAACTAAAGTAGAATTCAATATTCTACCACATAATAGGCTGTCATCATTTAAAAAGTTATTAATGAAACTTTATAATAACATAAAATGTGTATGATACTGTTTTTCCTTTAAAGAATGTATTATGTGAAAAAAAGCACGCAACGAAAAAAAGCACGCAAAATCTGGAGAAAGATGCATTAAAAAGTTAACAGAAATTGTTTTAAAGATGGAAATTTATGAAATTTTTCTACCTTTGCACATATTTCAAATTTGTTACATAATATTTTCTACCTGGGAAGTCACAAGATTTCCTTCATCATCCTTTGATAAACATGACAGTTTCTAAATAACAAAGAACCTAGACACACAGTAGGCCCTCAGTAAATGTATAAATGTATCAATACCTGCAGTGAAGTCTGCTACTTGAGATTTTCTGCCCCATAGAGAGCCTGCAGTCTTGTCAGCGGGAGAGGCTCATGTCCTGCTGTCCTGCATCTTGCAGGGCTGGACAAAATGATCTACGTCTACCTCTCCGTCCAGTGACACCAATGCTTTGATGGACATTTACCCGGGTTCCCAGGAGGAGTCACTGACGGGCCCCAGGGGAGGTAAAGCTCTTGTTGGATCCCCCGAAAACAACCACCAGAGTGGTCACTGGTCCGCAGAGCATCAGAGATGACGCCTTCTTCACTAGAGTGTGGGCTGGGAACTGCAGGTCTCACTGTCCCGACCTGGGCAGGCGCTCCCAGGGCCCCGAGCCAACTGCATCAGCGGCCTGGCCCACGCCTTCACGTGGGCGCTGTGCTCCTTAATCCCGGGTCTCAGAGCAAACCCTCGTCCTCACTGGTGTCTCCGCACCTAACAGACCAGATGGAGACTTGACTTGGCCAGGCCAGGCGGCCAGGGCACCGCGGCGCCCTCGCACGGTCGTTTCTCCGCGGTTTTTATGACTATGACCCTCCGTGGGGTTTGGGGGAGTCCTTCCTGGAAGGAGGACCTCGTCTGGCTGGCAGAGCCCAGCCCCAGGCCTCTGACGTCTCCTGGGGCCTCTGCCTCCCGAGGGTTCAGGGAATGAGAGCTCCTGAGGCCTGGGGGCGGGGATGGGAAAGGGGGACTGAGGGAGGGACCCGGCAGAAGTGGGGAGAAGCCATTGGGGAGCCCCGGACCTTCCTGACAGCCTCTGAGCTCAATCTCAATTCTTCTCTCTGGGAAATGATGAAAGCACGACCCAGCAGCCAGGTGTGTGGTCTCAGCACCTGCCCAGCCCCTTTGGAAGCCCAAAGCCCTGGACGTGGCCCCGCCCCCAAGGCCCGTTGTGGGGAGCCTCCCGGGAGAAGCTCCCCTGGCGTCTGGTTCCTTCCTCCGGTGGTTTCTGAGCCGCGCCAGGTGCACGGGGCTGTGATGCGAGGACCTCGAGTCTGTGCTCTCAGAAGGTAGATGCAGCTGACCCGGGAACGCGCTGGGGTTGGGCGCCCACCACCTGCACAGTCGAAAATCTGCACGTGCACACGGATTCACAGCGGCCAGTTGAACCTTGAGCAACGCATTTTGAACTGCCAGGGTCAATTGAACTGTGATCAGTAGAACTGAGAGAGTCAGTTGGAAAACAAATCCACATATGAGTGGATCTGAGCAGATCAAACCCTTGACCGTTCATGATGATCCCACAACACCTTTACCTGCATGGCATGGTTCCCATGTTACCTGTCCCTCCTTCTTGGATGTTTTTCTTACCAGTCACCACAACACTTAGCAAATACACAGTTTTGACCTTGATGACATTCGTATAGTTGAGGATGAGGCTCCACTTGGCAACTTTGGCCACTTGTGTTTCACTGAACGTAGTGTGGCGTCCAGGAAGAAGTCCTTGTCTTAAGAAAATGTCTAGGAAGATTCCAATATATCTCTACCTCCTGATAGTCACACCATGAGTAATTACCCTCTCCCCCTTGAGTGTAGGCTACCTAGTGATTTGCTTCTGGCTAACAGGATAAGTGAAGAGTGATGGAATGTCATTTCAATTATTAGTTTATAAAAGATTGTAACTTCTGTCTTTATAGCAGACTCCTGGTTTGATGAAGCAAGCTGCCATATTGGAGGAACCTACATGACAAGGAACTGAGGTTGGACTCTAACTAATTGCAGCCAATAGCCAGCAAGGAATTGAGGACCTCAATCCAATAGACCTTAAGAAACTGAATCCTGACATCAACTACATAGGTGAGCACACAAGAGGGACTTTGTCCAGTTGAGCCTTTGGCTGAAACTCGAGCCCAACTGACACTGTCATTGCAGCCTTTTGGGAGACTCTGAAGCAGAGAACCCACGTAGGGGTTCTTCTTTTTTGCCTTGTCTACATTCCTGACCCACAAAACCTGTGAAATGATAAATATGTATTTTTTAAGGCACTGAATTTTTGGGGTATCCATTATACAGCAAGAGATAACTGAAACAACTCTAAATTACTAAAACGTTGGTGTAAGATACAGTAATTTTGGGAAGGCAGACACCAAGTAGGACAACCTCCTTGACAACATCCCTGGAGATACTGTCTTCATACTCAATCATTATGCCACATATTCTTATGCTAACATGGTATCATTGTACTCTATAAAGCCCTAGTGTGCAGGAGGTGAATTGGAGGTAAGATAGTGTTTGGTGGAATGGATGGTCAGGATGGGGTCATGAATTGTAATGAGGAGGTCATTTTTCTCCTCATTTTTTTTTCTTCTTTCCAACTCACTCTACCATTACATTCTTGTTACTCTTTGTCTCCCTTTCCCCCAAATTCTGGGTGGCTACCTGGTGACCACTCCTGCAAGTGATGGCCAGGTGATCTCTTGTTATTGCAATAATGCTATCAAGCTAGACATCCTTAAGAGATGCCTCTGAGGAGCAGGAAGAGCTTGTCCTCTTCCTCAGGGTACTGTCACAAGCAGCAAGACCTCATCATTGAGCTCAAAATGTGCCTTCCAGACAGATTCACACCCCATTTACAACAGATTCATCAGCCAGACCCACCCAGTTATTAGACCCTACCCTAGACAACCCAGTATCCACAATCACACAACCCATTCATGTACACCCCACTCAATGACTACCCACCTGTGAGATACTCTTGAATGAGGAGCTTTTCCTAAATGTAAGTTAGCTGCTATTGTCAGGAAAATATTTCTATCTCTGGTTCTTTTCAGAAATGCAAACTGTCCTCCCTCTTGTTCCAGTCAGTGTGGAAGAATGGGAAAATGTGAACTGTTATACATTTACATTAGAATAAGTTAATGGTGGGAAACATGAGTTGTCACCCCAAACTTCATAAGGCAGAGAAGAGTTCTGAGAACAGGTGACATTCATTTTTCACCAAGAGATCTAAGAGGAAGATTTCTCCCTACCACTAACCTCAGCTCCTAACGCACCCTTTTCCCACTTCCAACTGCAAAATTTTCAGGGGGCAACAAGGAAAGATTCTGGCTATGTTATGCCAGAGTATCTCATCCCACCCTACATGTGTATGTATAGTTCAGGATATGAGGGAGGTGATAAAAAGACAGTGTGAGCCAAGTTCTAGGCTTCAGGGTTTTTCTCACTTTGAAAATGTCTGAAACATTTTAGAGTGAACTTTTTGTACTCTTTATAAGAAAATAGTGTTTTGACTACAGGAAATCAGTGCAACATCAAATAAAGGGGCCTTGATAAAACTGAGAAGGCCATCTAGGTTCCCTATAAGGGACTGGTCATCTTCTAGAAACAAAAAAGAGAAATCAGGTAAAGCTGAAATAGCTCCTTCATTTTCCTAAGCACAAGTCCAGGGATATGGAAAACCCAAGACCCAGAGAACACCACACTCCATTAAAAAAATATTTATTGAGCAGGATCAATGTCTTTGGTTATTCTAAACAAAGATTGTTCTTATTGGAGGATATGTTGTCATGAAATTGGTGAGGCTTTCTCAACAAAGACCCAATGATTTCTTTGAGCAAATTTTCTCTCCTTGGTAGTGCTAGAAAAATGTTTTCTGTTTGAAGAGTCAAATCTCTGAGCAATGTCTTTATCAGGGGTGAGAGGGGCTGGAGGGATCGGGCATAATACATTCTGGTGGGTCTTGGATGGGACCCAGGCTACCTAGCATGTGGGGAAGGATGTTGACTCTGGCACAATAGCTGGTTCTTGAAGGCTACAACTGTATAGGGATGTCTGATCCTGACTCTGTTCTTTATAGTACATGTAAGAAACCTCTAGTCAACAGTGACAGCTTCTTGGTTGCAGCACTGGATACTCACACATTCTTTGTGGTGTGGGTCAGAAAGAGCCCCCGATGGTTGGAAAAATGTCCCTTATCAGGCTCTTCCTAGGCCTGCATTTCCTACTTCTGTTGACTAAACTGCAAGGACTCAAGTTCATGACTACTTGCCATTTTTCCCTGTAGGATCTTCCCAATGGCTGTCATAAGCTCATGGGCTTCAGGATACCCACAACTCAAAAAGACAGCTGCACTTTCAGCTGGGTCATGTTCCTTGGCAAAGGCTGGCATGAATTTGGCTTTTTGCTGGGGATGTTCCAGCTCTTTGATTTTTCCTTTGGAATCCATCCAGTGATAAAATTTTCTTGTCTTTTTTCTGAAGTAACTATCACGAGGAAACTCTTCATTCTGTGGCAGAGATAGGAAAGTACCCTGTAATTTTCTGTCCTCAACGTAATGGCTCTTCTTTCTGCCTTCAGATGTCTCTACTGCCAACTCCTCACTTCTACATTGTCCTGTTTTGGAACTCACCGTTCTCACTTTTCTTGCCACTGGTGGTAAACTGTTATCCTGGCACTTCCATAAGACATTCTTAGAGACCCAAGCTTCCGGCCTCAGCTCTGTGCTGATCCTACTGTCCGCCAAGTGGACAAGAGCCCCCTTGGAAGCTCTCATGTCCCTAACAGAGATGTTCTGGAATGGAGCCTGTGAGGATATGGAAGAAAAGCTATCTGAAGCAAGGGACAAGTTAGTGGAACAGCTTTGAGCCTGGCTTTGCTCCTTGCTCTCCATTTTAAGTTTTAACTCATCAAGGACCTGCCTTTTCAGGTTAGATAGTTTTGAATCTTGGGTCTCTAACATTTTTGGTGAGGGGCATTCAGTGGTCAGGGGAAATGCTTCTTTCCTCATGTTGACATTCATCATTTGGGAGCCTCCCAACTCCTGGGTTGTCGAGATGTCACAAGGTTGTGATTTAATTGTACCTAGCTCCTGGTCCTTGAATATCTCTGTGAACATTTTGGAGACTGGAAAATGTTTTAAATTTTCCTCCGCTGTCTTCTTGCCCTCAATCACTTCTGCTCTCACACTGGAACTCACATTCTCATACCTTGGCTTATGTCCGGCCCCAGGTTGCTTCCTGGGCACCTCTGGGCTGCATCTGTTGTTCAGTACAGTATCACTCTGATTCCATTTGTCGGTGGTGCTGTGTGTGAGGGGCTGCTGAAAAGTCTGCCTGCCGCACACAGTTTTTTGGATGTTCTCTGCAAGCTCATCCTCCATATCAGCATGTGATGTTTTCAGGACCCCCTGTCCTTCACTGTTTACATTTGAGGAAGCCAGGAGAGGACAATCCAGCATGGGGACTAAATTTATTGTTCTCAGCTTGTTTCTCTGAAAAGTTTTGGAGCTTCTCTCAAGGGGCTTGAAAACCTCAGCTTTGGAAACTACCCCAGAAATACTGGTGGCTGAGGAGGAAAGGTCAAATTGGGGAAGACGCCATGTTTTGGCTTCTTTCAATGTATAGAATTTCATGTATTCAACAACCTTTAGTGGGAGGCCCCACCTCTGACTCAGACGAAACCTTATAATATGGCCTTCTAGCACTTGTCGAGTGTGGGAATCAAGAAAAGAAAGCTCTGGAGTGGTAATCTGGCTGTAGACTCTACCAACCACTGTGTTTTTAGAATTTGTATTTTCCTTATTGGTCTGGGAACTCCCAAAAGGAGGTGGTGTGTTGTCCTCAGCTACCCATGAATCACATACAACTATAGGGATTCTACCTTCAGTGATCTGCCAAGACTTCCTTCTCAAATGTAATCTAAGGATGTTCTTTATTTTATTCCGGTTTATATCCTTCCTTGAGATATTTAATAATTCCTTTTCTAAGCAACTCATTGAGTGACCCACACAGTTAATTTTTGTCTCTGAGGCAGCTCTCAGAACCTTCCCGAGGTGGCATTCTGAGAGCCTTTGTGGGCTGTCTTCTGGGCTCTTCTCTAAGATATACCCGAGATTCCTCTTCATATCCTCCCTTAGCTGAAAGTTTTGTGGAACCCTCTCACAGACATGTCCTGATAAACTCAATTCACTCTTGCCTAGTGACTTGCTACACTGTCTCTGAAGCTCAGAAAGTTGCCTACCTTTCTGCTGAGAGGTTTCTGTTAATTTGCTCTGAGATGCCATCAGCTGTAGAAGCCCTACATTCCTCCTGGCATGGGGGCACCCGAGTGGGATTACCCTCCTTGGAATATAGTGCTGCTGTTTCTCCTGGGGTTCGCTGGTGGTATGAAAATGACCAGGAAGGATGGAGACTGGTAAATAGGCATGGGACGATTGACTCGACAGTGGACGGTTGAGAGCTCGCGGACATGTGGCATGCTGAGATCTTTGGACCACAGTAGGTAAACTACACAAACTTTCCTGTTGCTTCTGCAACACATGACATTTCATGTGTTGACTCTCATTCAAGATATTAGAATCTGACGTATTCTGGGATCCAGGGAAAGACACCCCACAATCCCTAATCTGGGATGGAGAAGAAGATGGTAGAATTGGGAGTCGGGATTGAAAGTGGAGCTGGGGCTGGACCTGAGCAAAATGTTGTGACTGCGATTTGATTGGAAGCAAATGTTTAGGGTCTACATTGAATAGGGGAAGAAAATGAAAATGAGAAACTGATGGAGATCCTTGATGCTGCATTTTGACTATGGGAGCATTACAAATTCCATTGAATAAGACAAAGTGAGTTTCTAGTGAAGAGCTGATTCTGGAACCCAGTAGAGTAGCCACTAGGGACTCACTGTGCAAAGAGGGAAGACCCCAGAAGAGCTGGTTATATTTCTGCTGCAAGTTTCCCACCAAAGTCTTGACATAAAAGAGCTGCTGGCTATTGTGCAGCTGCTCTGGTTTGTCTTCAATGTTCCAGCCAGTTTGGAGGACTGTGGTGTCCTGTACATCAAGTGGTTGCAATGAATTCCCTAAAGATGTCTGTTGGTATTCTGACCAAATTTGTTTTGAAAATGGTCTGTCCTCATTTTCTTTCTTCTCTAAAATCTGAAAATCCTTTGTCTTTTTTACTTGTCTCTCCAGGAGTGCCTGGATATTAAGGCCAAGGAAAGAAAGGCTACTGGTCTCCATATGCTTTGAAACAGAATCTCCCCAGAGACAGGTCTCTGGTAGATGGAGAAAAACATGCTCTTGCTGAAAATCAGAGTGTGATAATGTGGGGAGAAACATGTTACTGGCATAATCCTGCCAACAGGAAATATCTGATATTGACAGGCTTGAATGGTCAGTGTCTCTGATTGTTGGGACATGAGTGGACAATACACTAGAACTATCTGGAGATGTGTCCTCTGGAACAGGCTTCAATGAGGTGAAAATTGATTTCGATTGAATCACAGCAGGACAGTCTGATGGTGGTGAAGTAGACAGCATTGGTGAGATGTGTTGACAAGCAAATGAATCAGTGGCATTCGTTGACTGTGACAAACCTGGTAAGGGATATCTTAAGTAAGGGTGTGATCACTTGAGAAGATGATATTCAGAGATAAAGTAGATACGTGTTGAATAATAGGACCAGACTTCTTATTGTCACGTGGTAGAAAAGGGGTACAGGTAAGAGGTTGGGATGGGGAATGGCCCGCTGGGAATTTGGATTCTAAGGTAGGCAAAGGTTCTGGTGGCAGAGAGTAACCCAGTGGTGAAGGTGAAACCGTCAGCTAAGGGGTCATTGGCTTAGAGCAGAAGATAATGGTAGAAAGGGCTCAGGCAAGGGGCTGGGGATTGGGTCTCTTGGCGGGACTACTGAGAAGACAGAAGACAGAGAGTATGAGGACTCAGTACCAGGCGTTGTGGGAGCCAAAGGAGAAGCATCTTCCAGGGCCTCTGGAAACAGCAACCGGTTGACTTCAGCAGCTGCATGATTACACACCTCGCAGGAGGGGTCTGGACATAGCAGTTGACGCAAGTGGATGGTATCATGATGCTGGCCCAGGGGGCTGCAGGAGACAGGAGGGACAAAGCTATAGCAGGACCAGAAAAATATATGGGATCGTGGCAGGTCTGGCACAGGTAGGGCCTCACACTGCATACGATTCTTTCAATTTCCCTCCTTTCTTGATTTCACAATATAACTTTTATTTCTTTTCCAAAGGCTTGCACATTCTGACTCTGACGATTTTCCCTCCTATATTAATCCCAGGCTCCAATGAAGCCCCAGAAATTCTTAGACTCTGCTAAACAAAGGGGGGGAGGGGAGTTACAGAAACAAGGCAGTAAAGTTTAGTCACCTTTGCAGAAGAGAAAGCACGTTCTTTGCCTCTTCTACTTCTCTCTGGCAAGCTTTCCAACCTGCGAAACCAGGAAAGTAATGAAGGGAGAATAAAGACATCTTATAGGAGGCTATTTAAAATATTATTTAGAGGTATCCTTGGTAGATTGGATTTGGAGAGGCCCAAAAATGCTCAATGATAAGAGCAAAGCTCAGATGTATATTGTTTTATCATTCACAAAGAGCTTTCACACATATTATCCCATATTAGATTCAAAGCAACCCTTTGAGGAACGTTGGTCAATGGTTATTTCAAGGAGGAATCTGAGTTCCAGACAGCCAAAGTCCTTTTTGAACTCAGTACACAGTGGTTCTGGCTCTTGATATCTCACATGGCCACCTATGGGCAATACTCATTGCCCAGGTCCGTCACTTCTTCATACCTCGGAATTGCAGAGCAAGGAATCTGAGACGTGTCTCAGGCCCTGAGTGCTATCTCATGAGCCTCTCCTCTGAGGGCACTGTTTTCTGAGAGGGACTATAACTAGTGTCTGACATCCTCAGAGACTGTGGACCTGGGACCTCATGGAAAGAACAGAAAGGATCACCCTTGAAGAGCTCAGGTAAAATAGGCAGAGCCTTACCTGTCTGCGCCCCACTGTTTCTTTGCCTCTTGGCTTTGCTCTGATACTGAGAACAAAAAGAAAAGAATGAGGGGCTAAGACTCATTTCTTTCACTCCTCTCCATAGGAAACCGAGACCACTGTGATCCAAGAATAATACGACCCTCTATTTCAATGAACAAAACTTGAATATTTATCTTTTATTAATTTTTAAGGGGAATAACATATTTTTTATGTTTTCTTTTCTGAAAAACTCAAAAAAGGAATTATATCTATGAGGTTCATTCTTGGTGTTCTCAATAAGAGTCCTCTGCTGAAGGAGGGCATAAAATCTGAGGCCAGGACCCTGAACCTGGAACAGAGCTCAGATTCCTGCCTCTGCTCATAGGCTCTCAGATGCTGAGCGCTGCTCTCCTGATCAGCCCAACACAAGGGAAGGCATGGTCCAGTGACACCTGACATGGGAGTGTGGTCATCATGAAGTGCACAGATCCCCAACTCTCTGAATAACACAATCTAGAGCTACAGATATATTGAGTTTGGGATTTTACCTGGAAACATGCCACCATACCCTGATGGTCTGTGAAACCTTAATCTTCCCTAAACCACTAGCCCTGCTTGGTGTTTTCCCCTAGGAGAGTAACGTTCTCTATTCCCTTTTCAGACATCCCATTTTAGGTAGCTCTCTGACCCACATAAACTCATTTATAACTGTGAGAAGAAGAACAGGAAAATAAAGAATCATACTCTGGAGGGAAACTTCTGGTTCCAACTCTGATATTTAAAGAGTTTAGGAGTCATGTCTCCAGGCTGCAGAAGCAAAAAGCTGAAAAATGGAAAAGTAATTGCTTTACTTAAAGCCAGCAGAGAACTGAGGTCAAAGGGCAAACCCCTACTGAAAAGTTTCAGAGAGGGTGAATGCAGAGAATCGTAGTCATGATCAATTTAAATGGAGCAGAAGCCACTGGAGCCATAAACTGGTAGGAACACTTAAAAGACATATTGACAAATTGCTAAAGGATGCATGTAGATTAGCATGAGAGTGAGAAACTCATAGAATCACTATCTTAGGGGGGGCCCCAACTGTTTATGGATTTTATCCCCAAGAACTCCATTAGGTTGTCATGGTGAAAAGCCATGGAAAAAACTCTCCTGTTTCTGGCCAAGATGTGGAGTAGACTGAAAGATAACCCTGTTCTGCAACATTCTGAAATATTTCCTGTGTGTTTTCCATCACAGAAGCCTCCTCAGTTGGCAAAAAGACTACTAGAGCCTTATTTTACTTGGGAGAATGGTTAAGTTACTCAAATGCAGCCCTCTCTAGCCTTCTTGTCTAAAGAGTGAAAAGAAAAGAAAAAAAGGTTATAAACACTTGTTGACATCACAACCCAGGACTCAAGTGCACTAAGATTTAATCATATGCACTCCCCTAAGACCTTACCACCACATCAACAGAGCTCTAGTGTAGTAAGGAGATAGTAGTTGAAAGAGCGGTAGGGCATAGAGTCTCTTTAAGGAGGAGACTTGGGGCACCCTCAAGACAACACAAGAGATCAAATAAATAATATATAAATAAATTGAAGCCTCTTACAGCTACAGTAAATATTAGGCACAGTCTACACCTACCCGGAAAAAATAAAACTTCATGCTAATAGTCTATTTACCCTAGTTCTTGTTACACAATACATTCTGTCCGGCTTCCAACAAAGATGACAAGCCATGCTAAAAGCAAGAAAAAGCAGTTTGAATAGCCAAAGCAAGCATCAGATCGCCCATTTAGATATGACACCAATTTGGGAATTATTATAGATGGAATCTGCACTAACCATTACTAATATATAAGGGCTCTAATAGAAAAAGTGGACAATACAAATGAAGATGAGGAGTATAAGCAGAGAGAGGGAAGCTCTAAGAATCAAAAGGCAATATTAGAAACCAACAATGCTATAACAGAAACAAAGAACGCCTTTCCTTGGCGCATCTTTCCGTTGCACATTTGCAAGGAAAGAATAAGTGAGCTCGAATATATGTCCATAAAAAATTTGTAAACTAAAATAGAAAAATAATTTTTTTAAAATTGTAAAACCCAGAATAACCCATAAGTCTGAGACAGTCTTAAAATGTGTAACATACAGGTAACTGGTACATCAGAAGATTAAAAAAAGAACAAATTGGAAGAAATGTGTGAGGTAATAATAGCCAAGCATTTTCCAAAATTTATGACAGATTAACCATAGATTGTGGAGGCTCAGAAGACACCACGTAGGATCAATACTAAAAGAGTCTGTATCTGCACATATCATAATCAAACTCTAGGAAACTAAAATATATAATTTTGAAAGAATCCAGAGGAAAATAAGCACAAACGTAAGAATTATGGGCTTCTCATCATAAACCACTCAAGCAAGAAGGGAGTAGAGTAAAATATTTAGTGTTGAAAGAAAAAAAAATACCAACTTAGAATATTAATTCTAGTTCAATTATCTTTCTAAAGTGAAGAAGAAAAAAAAAAAAAAACCTTCTCAGACAAATGAAAACTGAGAAAATTCAGCAGCAGCAGACCTGACTTGCAATAAATGTTAAAAGAAGATCTTCAGGGAGAAGTACGGTGATCATTTGGATCTATGTAGGAAATAAAGAGAAGAAATAAATGCAAATAAAATAAAACTTTTATTTTTCTTATTCTCAATTTACCAAATAATAATGACAATCTCTTGGAGTACGGTGATAAGTGAAACAGATGATAGCAATGTTACAGAGAAAGAAGGGAGGAGTTGAGAGCCCTGATATACAGTACTTCCATCACCTATGAAGTTGGTATATTGTTATATAAAAGTGGACTTATATTTGTTGTATAAGTATATTAAAAACTCTAGGGCAACTATTGAAATAGTTGTTAAAGAAGAAGAATCAATACACTAAGAGAAGAGAGAAAATGGAATCACGTGAAACACTCATTTTAAACAAGAAAAGGTAGGAAAAGAGGGAAAGAAAAGAAAGAGATACAATGAAAAGTAAACAGTTACAGGCGCAGTAGATATTAATTCAAAAGTAAATGTAAGTGCTCTAAATTCACCACTTCTCTCTCATTGATGTTTCTGTCTTTCTCTCCCTCTCTCTCTAAAATCAATGAAGGAAAAAAAAAATTCTTTTAAAGTTAGAGATTGCCAGTGGATTAAAGAACAAGGGCCAATTGTATTTTGTCTACAAAACACCCACTCTAAATATAAGATGCACATAAAAGTAAAGGGAAAGAGCCCTGACCGGCTTGGCTCAGTGGTTGGAGTGTCCGCCCACAGACCAATGACTCTCGGGTTTGAGTCCGGTCAAGGGCACGGACCTCAGTTTCATTTTGTCCACGGCCCTAGTTGGGGTTGTTCGTAAGGCAACAAATCAATGTGTCCCTCTGACGTCGATGTTTAAAAAAAGTAAAGGGAAAGAGAAAAATGCATCACTAACCAAACACATGGTTAGCACTAACCAAAATGCTAACACTAACCAAAAGAAAACAGGAGTTTTCTGTCTGTCTGTTTATTTTTCTTGTTGGTTTTCAGACAAAGCAGACTTCAGAGCAAGGAAAGTTATCAGGGATAAAACCAAGCATTATATAACAACCCTTAACGTCTAACAAAATATGTGACTTAAAAACTCGTAGAACTGCAAGTAGAAATAGATGAATCCATTGTTGTTATTGGAGACGTCAACACCCATCTATTCAAAAAGAACACATTCAGCAGGCAGAAAACCAGTGAGGATATAATTGACCTGAACATGAATCAACATGATGTAATTGACATTTATAAAAACTCCGTCCAACAACAGAATTCAAATTCTGCGTAAGCACACATGAAACATCCCCCAAGATCTACCACATTCTGTGCCATAAAACATAACAAATATAAAAGAAGTCATATAAAGTATGTTTTCAGGCTGTAATGAAATTGAGACTAGAAATCAATTATGAATAGATAGCTCGAAGAGCCCAAAATGTTTAGAGATTAAAGAACATACTACAAACACATGGGTCAAGAAAGACGTCTCAAAAGAAAAAAGAATTTTAAACTAAGACAAAATAAAAATACAACTTTCAGTTTATTAGCTGTAGCTAAAGCAGTGCTTAGAGAAAAACTGATAACCTTAAATGCATGTATTTGGAAATATTTAATATTTACCTGACCGATGTCTCCCTGTTTCAAAAATACTGGGAAAGAAGGCTTCTTCTTTTTGTGGCACAGTGACAGAAGGAGCCCCACTCCGCACAGGAAAATAAGGATAGGAATAATTAGGAAGTGGAGCTGGAGTTCAGCCATGGTGCAGTAAGGCTTCTCAAACAAACCAGGTAGTTGGCATCATCGAAAGTGCTTCGCTGCCTCAGGCAACTGGACGTCGAGAGGGCATTCTTGACTAGAATCCCAGGCCCACATCACAGAGCTATGGCACGGACTCCAAAGGTTCTTGAGGGTGGGGGAGGGGACAACTCAGGGAAGATGAACTCACAACCCACCCTCCATCATCCAGCCCAGCAGATCTGTCCATCCCTACAGGGACCATGGCATTCCTCCAACCTAACTTCCGACTCTACCCATTCATCATACCATATGTTGACCTTAGTGAAATTTTCTATTTATTCCACCTGTTACCCAGGTGATACCTGAGACCCTTTTACTGATTGGGGATCTCATTTTGGACCCCAGTGACCTTTGAAAGCCTGCTGTGCCAGGGTATTTATACCCCCAAGATCTACTCTGTCCTCAGCTACAACTTCCCATATGCATAATGTGTTTTTACCTAAACAGAATGAGAAATATATTCAGCAGCAGCCCCACCCTCATATCACCCCAAAGAATCCACATTCACTAAAAATATGAGAGGACAGAGTAGCCTGTAACAGTGAACAAAAACCATGAAAAAGAGAGAAGACATGGCAAACCCATGGACCTATGGGTTTAAATAACTTTAAAATCTACAGATCATTTTTCTTCCAATACCTCTTTTAGGCTATTCAGTCCCTTCCTGCCATACATTATCTCTCTCTGCTCTCCCCTCTTTCTCCTCTGTGGCAAATCCTCTCTCTCCCTGCAACCCTTAATTTCTTCATTTTACAGAGCACTTGTATTGGCCTCCAACCCACAGAACCAAACTCACCTTGATTTAGAGAATGGGCTTCTCTTTAGCATAACTTTTAATGAGCATAACTCATTAGAAGTACATGTTCATGTTTCTTGGATCACACCTATGGTTACTTCTTCCATGAAAAGTTTATGATATTTTTTCCCAATCTACTTTCTCACATTTTCACCAAAATTCCTATTGGCTTCTCTGTACCTTTCAAAATAATAATGTATTTTTTGTTGACAGTGTATATGTATTTATTTCATCTTTTTATGCCAGCTAATCATTTAATAATTATAACTCTTTCTTAATTATTTTTTTTTTAGGGAGAGAGGAGGGGAGAGAGAGATAGAAACATCGATGTGTTAGAGAAACATCGATCAGCTGCCTCCTGTGTGCCCCCTCTTGAGGATGGAGCCTGCAACCATGGTATGTGCTCTGACTGGGAATAAAACTTGGACCTCTCAGTCCATGGGATGACCCTCAGTCCACTGAGCCCCACCAACTGGGCAATAATTATAACTCCTTCAGCTTCATTATTTAGCTATAAATTGTTTAAATGAAGCCTATTGTGTCAATTCCTTACTTTGCTTGCCTGCATTTCCTCTCTGAGTCTTGATGAATCAGTCTTGGCCCCAGACCTCCAGTCCTTTCCCTTCCACATGAGGATGTTTTACCAGTAATCACCGCTGCATTCTTTGCCTGTCTACTCCTGCTTCTGCAGCTTCGCCATGGTCTCCACCCAAAGCAGGGCGCAATTCAAGCCCCACCCCCCAACTTCCATGTCCTCCCCTGACTGCCGGAGGTATCTCTGTTCAGAAAATCCCTCCACACATCTATGCCTCTCTTGTATTTTCTTTTTATATCAAGTCTGGTCCTGATTCTAAGGTCATTAGGACTCACAACTGTAAAAACATCATTTAAAGGATAAGCAAGGTAAGCTCCACCAAGAAGTTTCCAGGTGAGAAGTGGTTATAAAACTGGCACATAGGATATGTCCTTCAAAAATGGCCTTGTCACCTACAAGAGAGCTCCCACAAGACTGTCAGCTGATTTCTCAAAAGCAACTTTGCAGGCCAGAAGGGAGTAGCAAGAAATATTCAGAGTGATGAAAAGCAAGAACCTACAACCAAGATTACTCTGTCCTGCAAAGCTGTCATTTAGAATCTATGGCCATATAAAGACTTTCCCAGACAAGAAAAAGCTAAAGGAGTTCATCACCAAACTATTATTATATGAAGAGTCTTCTTGAAGAAAAAGATAAAATATATGAAAAAATAAAATGGCAATGAATACATATCTATCGACAATTGAATCTACAAACAAAATGAACGGGCAGAACAGAAACATTCTTATAGATACAGAGAACATTTTGTTGGTTGCCAGATGGGAGGGGCGTTGGGGAATGGGTGAAAAAGTTGAAGGAATTAAGAAGTACAAATTGGTTGTTAACTGACAAACCTCAAAGGGAAGAGGGGGTGGGAGGTGGGAAGAGATAAACCAAAGAACTTATATGCATATATGCATAACCAATGGACACAGACAACAGTGTGGGGAAGGCAGGAGTGGGGTGGGAGTGGTGAGGAGGGGGTCAATGGGGGAAAAATGAGGAACATCTGTAATACATTCAACAATAAAGATACATTTTTAAAAAAGAAAAAAAATGGCCTTGTCATAAAAAGGAAAGGCCGAGAAACTTCTCCAGATTAAAGGAGACTAAAGACACATGACAGCTAAGTGTAGTATGTGAATCTACATAGAATCTTGTAATGGAGGTGGTTTGCGGGGCACACAAAGGACATTACTCAGTAAGTTGACAAAAATAGAATAATAATGGGAAATTAGTTAAAGGTTTTATGCCAAATGTTAAATTTGCTCAAGGGAATAACTACCCTTGTATATAAGACACTGCTTTTTCTTAAGAAATACACAAAAAGAGAAAGTGCATGATGTATAAAACATTCTCAGATATTCCACTATGTGTGGGTAGTTTTTATTAATGTACATGTGTGTGTGTTCATATACAGAGAAATGGGAGGGAGGGAAGGAGACAGAAACAGGGAGGAGACAGTAAATGAGTCAAAATATTTGTTGGTAAATCTAGACAAAGGGTTTATGGTTTTACCATCCATGCAACTTTTCCACACGTTTATTTTACAAAATGGACCACAGACTGTTGTCCTGAATTTTAGCAGAAGTTTGAGATTTCTGCCTTTGATTCTCACAGCCAACCACCACCACCACACCCAAACCCAGAGGTGTGCAATGTCCCAGGTTCTGTCCCAGGCAAGAAACCTTGGGTCCTCTGTACATGTGAAGCATGCTGACATTTTTTTTTAATCCTCACCCAAGGATATCTTTCTATTTACTTTCAGATAGAGTGGGAAGGATGAAGGGAGGGAGAAAGAGAGAGAGAGAGAAACATCGCTTGGTTACCTCCAGCATGACCTCTACCAAACAGGCCAAGGCTGAAGCATGCTAACATTTTAATAGGGTTCTACAAAATACTGAAAAGCATCCCATGCCCTTCATAAAAGATGAATTTTTAAAATTATACACAATATAAAATACAAAAAATTCAAGATGTCTATTGCATGGGACCCTGAATTTCGTTTGTATAGGGTGTCACCAGATCATCCATCTCCTGGGGTTTGTGGAGTGACAGGGTGTGCCAGACTTCCTCTGCTCTTCTGGTCACTCACCACACCTCAGCTGGATTTCCATTTTCCAGAGTTACGTTGATGTCTTTTGTTCTATCCTATCCCCTTCTTGTCATTCTCAAGCACATGTTTCTTTTAAATCTTTTAATTGTTCTAACAGCTTTATTGATATTATAGTTCACATACCATACAATTCACCCATTTACAGTGCATAATTACATGAGTTTTGGTACATTCACAGACATGTGCATCATCGCAGTCAATTTTAGAATATTTTCATGACTTCAGCCCTAGTCAGGTGGCTCAATTGGTTGGACTATCTCCCCATACACCAAAAGGGTGCAAGTTTGATTCCCAGTCAGGGCACAAAACCTGAGCTGCAGATCTCATCCTGGGTCGGAACACATTCAGGAGGCAACTGATCAATGTGTGTGTGTGTGTCTCTCTCTAAAATCAATAAAAAAGAAAGAATATATGCACTCCTAAGTTCATAGCAGTCCTATTTACAATAGGTAAGATCTGGAAACAGCCCAAGTGTCCATCAGTAGAGTGGATAAAAAAGCTGTGGTACATTTACACAATGGAGTACTACGCAGCTGTAAGAAAGAAAGATTTCTTACCCTTTGAGGCAGCATGGAGGGACCTGGAGAGTATTAGGCAAAGTGAAATAAGCCAGTCAGAGAAAGACAAGTATCACATGCTCTCTCTTATATATGGAATCTAATGAACAAAATAAACTGACAAAAAAAATAGATCCAGAGACATGGAAGCAGGGAACAGACTGATGAACCTCAGAGGGAAACAGGGAGAGGGCAGCAGGAAGAGATAAATGAAAAAACTTATATGCATATATGTATAACCTATGGACACACACAATAGTGTGGTGAAGGCGAGGAGGGCAGGAGCAGGGTGGAGGGGTCAGTGGGGGAAGATGGGGGGACATCTGTAATACTTTCAAGATAAATTAAAAGAATTGTATCAATTTAAAAAAAAAAACATATCCTGGGGAGTAAAAATAAATAAATAAAATATTTTCATGGCTTCAAAAAGAAAACTTACAATCTTTAGCTATCGTTTCTCTCCTCCCCTTCCCCTCACCGCCCTAAGAAACCACTAATCTGCTGTCTGTGTAGATTTCCTTATCTGTATATTTTTGATATGTGGTCATTTATGATTGGCTTCATTTGCTTAGCATAATGTTTTCAAGGTTCATCCACATTGTAGCATGTATCAGTATTATTTATTTCCAAAAATATTACAGTTTATAGATATACCATGTTTTATTTACCTTTTTATTAGTTGCTGGATATTTGGGTGGTTTCCACCATTTGACTATTAAGAATGTTTATAAGTTTTTGTATGGACATATCTTTTCATTTCTCTTGGAAAGAGAAAGAACATGCTTAGAAGTGGAATTGCTCAGTCATAGGTTAACTCTATATTTAACATTTTGAGAAATTACCAAAATGTTATCCACAGTGGCTGCACCATTTTTTATTTTCAACAGCAATGTATGAGGGTTCCACTTTCCACACATT